AAATGTTTAAAAATGAATTCTTACAAATGTAAGCTTTCTATGCACTTTTTGAAGGTCGTATGAACATAAATTGGCCGATATATAGAATGCACTTTAATCCTATTAAATAAATATCTCTTCATCTACTTTATAAATTCTTCTACGCAAGAAAAAATAATAATAATAAACATAATTATAGGCTATATTTTTATGGCAACTTTTCCTTTTGTGCTGCTTATATTTAATAGAAAAAAAAAAAAGAAGTAGGAATGTTTGTAAAATTTGCCATTTTTAAACACTAAAAGAGGTTAAGAACGAATGTCGAGTATGAAAATAAGGACAGTCTCTTTTTCTACAACGAATCCAATGTTTTATTTACAGAAAATTAAACATTTTATTTGGATTAGCTTGTATAAACAAAGCGACAACTTAACAAACTCAGATAACCAGTGAATCATCTCCAACAGATGGTTAACGATTCGTACTTTATGGTTACACTTTAACTGTGAACCACCTACAACAGGTGGAGTACAGTTCAATCAGAGGCCTCGTGGACCTTTAAACTCAATTATATTTCGACGCCATATCCTACTTATCTCGCAAACATTTCCGATAATCGTTTAAAATATTCACGAATATAAATTCGAGAATATTTTAAATTTCAACGAGAGCATCGGCATTTTAATAATAAAAGAAAGAAAAAATTCTGTTGGAGATATTAATCGGAAATTCAAATTTTATTATGGCATATATCAAATAGGGCTATAAAAGACCACACAGAGATTATTAACGACGTTTCAGTTGTACAGTACAGTGGACCGTTTATTTCAAGGACAACACAGTCACTGTCCATGGAAGGTGTGTCTTACGCCATCCCATTGACCACGTGTATTTTCAAGGCCATGTACAGTACGTATCCTCCGACTACAAAATGGTAGAGAGGAAACTTTATAAATTAATATACAGTAGGTTTACCTTCTACACATACAACTGTTAATAACAGCAGCCGCAAAACGCAAAACTCATAAACGAGAAAAATAAACATGACAAGACGAGACAATCGCGTATACTTTACATGTTTGTTTATTTTAAATAAAATTACATTCCTTAGAACAAAAACTCAAAAATAAATCAATTTTTCTCCTATAAATTGTACATCTTGCATTTAAAAACTAATACAAAACGCGCGTGTTTAAAAAAATATATATGTACAGTACGATACATACGGAACAATTAAAAAATTGCGCCTAATTAAATTTATAAAATATAGTATTTTATATTTTAGAAAACCTACCATTGGTTTCGGTGCAATTGGTTAAGGTGCAACGCTTTGGTTTAGACTCAATCACCAGCTATCAATCCGGCGAACGAAGTGGCTCAACTAATTCAACTGCGCGGATCGCCGAAGTGGGTTAGCGAGAAAGATGCCCGGGGCGAATGCCCTCTAGCGGAATAATACAGTAATACTAGAAAAATATCCGGTAGATGGCGAGTAGCCGCCATTTTGTAAAAATAAAGAAAGAAAAAAAATATTAACATATAACTTACCTTTTACATCTACACAATTGACTCCAGTATAGACTTATATAATAATAAAATTACGAAACATTCAATTATGATATAATAAAATTAATTATAAACGATAAAAAAAGAAATATATATATATTTAACTGTTGCCCCATAAAGATTAATCAAAGTTAATTTTTAAGTTACGTTTTTGTTGTTATTGTTTTTTTTAAATAGAAACTTGTTTAATTCTACTCTTTCTTTTCTCGCGGCCATGTTATGGGTCGTTGCAAATGGATTCTTCCGCCTCTAAAATCCTATGGCATGATTTGCTATTGTTATGATATAAAATGCAACCAACAGCTGTAACATTTATTTCAGTTTATACGTTAGTTCCGGATAATAATAAAATTGACATCTCCTAACTACTGGGAATATATTAGTCATTTTATTACCTGGAAAACCTGTTGAGGAGCCGTAATTTATAATGCAAATAATTAATATTTAATTTAAAAAAGTAAAAAAAAGATCTTCCCATTAAAAAATGAATTAGAATTTAATTTTAAATCTTAGATACAATTTTCCAGGTTAAAATTACAGTATAAAGTTGCTTAAAATTCATTTTCCAGGTTAAAATTACAGTATAAAGTTGCTTAAAATTCATTAGATTAATATAAAAATCGATTTAATTATAATAAAATATTAATTTCCTAGCATTAGCAAACTTTTTAAAGCGATTATTCCGGTGGAAAATATAAATTTAATTTGGGTTTAAATAATTTATTTAACTCATAAGACATAAATAAATAAAGTTAAAGTAAAACAAACATCAATTGCCCCTCTTATTTGTTGAGCTAAGTTATTATCTTCTTAAGAAAATCCAGCAGAGAAGTGTACTGATTTTATATATACAAGATATTAAAGGAAGCACTAAAACATCCATTGTTTTATTGTTTTCTCCACTCTTAATGCATTATCTTTGCATCGAGTTCTATTTCCATATATAACAATTAGAACAAAGTTTAAAATAAAGTAAAATAATAGTGAGAAAAAAGGGAAAAATTGNCTATACGATAAGGTATAGTAATCAACACAATACAAGAATGTAGGCCTATACGGTAATCAGCAATATGTTTTTGTAACGACGTACAGTCGACCCCCCTATAAGATATAGATACGTTCCAATTTATTAGGAATCCGATTTCTTACAAGTCGTTCCAATCACAGCCCGACACGTGTCAAGTTTACGGACTACGGCTGATTGAAAGGTTTTCTTCCATAAAATTAATCGATTCTACACTAATCCGACTCAACATTCCAAAATACGTATATTTTTTCGTAGTTTTATAGGAATCGTAATTATAGGGACCGTAATTATAGGGGGATCGACTGTATAATAAAATGGATTCTGAACTAGTCTACGACTTGAAAACACACCATTAATACCCGAGAGTCGACTAGTGTCGGATTACTGAACACCTCGAACTAGTGAATTACCATATTATCGAGATTGTACTGTGCCATTGTTAAGTTTTAAATTTCAATTCTTCTGCCCTGTAATTTATTCTTCCAGAACTCTTTTGAAGAATTTTATTTTAATAGCATTTAAGACTGTTTTCGCCCGATACATCGAGCGAAATGTTTGTAAATTTTACATTTGTTTTTAGAAATACAGGTAACCCTCATAATTGCAGTGATTTCGATATAAGACGAAATCATCTGTTTACCTTATTGTAGATTGTGCAATTTCCCCTTAACTGATGAAAGCTTTCCTCTGTAATGATGAATGATTTTTATTTTTCATGGTAATCATATTAGAAAAATGTAAAATAATATTCTATACTAACAAGTTTGTAATTTTATACACGTAAATTCTCTTTGGCATTTTTATTTTCCAGTTTCGTTCTTGAAAACGGCATTTAATTAGGTAATAAGTGTGGACAAGTTAGTTAAAGTTAATTCTGAGAAATCAAAATTATATTTTTGTTTGGTACTTCATGTTTTTTTTTAACTGAAATTATCTGAGTTAAATTATAAAACTGCTTTTTCTTATATAATATATGAAATTTATATTAAAAAATCGTTTGGAAACTTAAATCTATGTTTTATGTTTAATGTGAATCTTGCATAACGCGACATTTCTCTGGAATTTAATTAGGGTTATACGAGGGTGACTTTTAGGTGTCGACCTATTGTTCTGAGGACCCGGAATCGAATCCGGACGGGTAGAAAAATCCCTTTTAGGATGTGGGGGCCCCGATCATCATCACATTGTGGAGCCTAGCCGAGCCCATAATGGGCTTGCAGTTTGGACTAGAACTCCATGACAACTTAATTTACCATTATTAATTTTTGGTGTGTCAATATTTAAACTGTTTATTTTATTAAAAATTAAAAAAATCAGATAATTTTCGCCAATTTTATCCGAATAAAATTATTTTATGATTAGCATTGTATAAACAAATCGGTATATTGTCAAATTATAAATCATAAGTTTATAAAGAATTCCGATAGCGTCACGAATCTCAAAAAAAGCATTAGCTTATTACTGGAGGTTCTGGTTCGAGTTCGGATCGCTAAGGTTAGACCAGTAAGTGTCGGGTTCCACAGAAAGCCTGGAAAGTGCTCGCAGAATAAAGATTCTCAAAAAATTTAATTTAAAATTAGAAGAAAAATAACGTGTTCTGAATAAAACGAATACAACGCTTAATCAGTAAAAAATAAATAAATAAATAAGCATTTATTTAAAAACTTTTACGATTAGCGATTCAACTAACATGACATCTGCTGGAGAGTTTTTATATTTTTGAAAGCTTTCATTATATACCTTACAATAAAAGCTACATACTGATATACAGCTGTATTTGTGTATATACTCATATATATTTGTCAAAAGGAAAGCTTAAGAGTTGTATTAAAGATAAAAAGAAATATCAAGTGAAACAAGCAAGAGAATAGAATTAATTTTCCTTGCTTCATTTCTCTTTTCACTACACTTCCCAGCAATGAAAACATGGTGTTAGTTTACATTCGTGTACGTGTTTCATTATTTTCTAAACGCATGAGGTGTGAAAGCTCCTTTAACTTTCGTTATATTTCGCACAATGAAATATCAAACTTGATTTTATCTTCCATGTTGCAACTCTAACTTGGAAATGAAAAAGATAATAATATCGAAGAGAATAACAGTAGTAAATACACTTTCTTTGGCTTCAATCTTATTTAAATTATCTGAATTATAAAAGATTTTATTTAAAAAACTATGATTTGCTTAGTGATTCGTCTTTACTTTTTATTAGCAAATTGTTTATTCATATGTGAATAAATTAATGATGCCATTTCTAGAATTTAATCTGAAAATTTGAACCTCTAATTATGTAAAATTTCAGCTATAATTACAAAATAGACATTACTTACTTTAGAAAACTCAGTAGATAAATTCTCTTTGAAATATTACTTTATTGGTAAAAGTTTAATAAGAAAAATAACTTTAGATCCTATGCAATAAGAGGAATAACGAATAAATTGTAAAAACCAATAAAAATAATGAGGATTTGAATTAGATTTAATTAACTGGCAACAGTATAAAACACTATAATCTTAAAATCTACAAGGCTGTTCACAATTTCACTCATTATGGGCAGATCAGATATGCAATAGTCAGCATAAGTGAGATGGAGACTGATGCCTTGGTCCAAACTACCTAGTCTGAACTGGATTTGAATCCAGATCACTATATTGGTAGATTGATATTGCATGGCCATCTTAGTGATGAGTGGATTTGAACTGATCTGACAATTGTGAGGTATGAATCCCTTAATGTATATATGATCATCTGACAACAAAACTGTTCTGTCATGCAAATCTTAAGCTTCTATTTATAAATACAATTCTTCTATAAAAAAAATTCCTTTATTACACATTTTTAATTCATTCATTCAAGTCAAAATTCATATAGTAAGAGTTAACATTTTTTTTTTAAGTCAAAGTTACGACATTCTGATTTCAAAGAAGAACCATATTCTTCTGCCTCTTCGTATGTGCCATTTTTAAATATGCAAGAAGTGACATCGGAAAATGGTTTCTGTCGTGATCGTACTCGGTCGGAATGATGGGAACCAAAAAGATGAAACTTTACAGAATTCGGAAACTATTTACAGATGAAGTAGTCCTCACTTACTATAAATGATTTTGGCATTTATACACAGAATGTAATGTCAACTAATTCTGCAAATTAGTCACTTTGCAACAAAGAACCTGAAGATTTTAGTCTTATGATGAAAATGAGATCAAATGATGCAAAGAACTTTTGTGCACTAAATATATTATTTTCACCATTTTCCTCTTTTTGACCAATCTTTAGGAGTCCAGTGTAGACATTTTGGATCGATCCGAACGATTCTCTTGGCCGCAGCACGTTGATATGCTTCTATTACATCTTTGGTTAAGGTGATGATGTATTGACCTTTATAGTAATTTATGAGATTCAGGTACTGAAGAGTTGATATAACATCCTCTTTTTTAATGCTAGTTAATTCCGATGTTTCACTGAAAAAGAATAAAAACATAATAAAATTAAATAAAATTTTATATTCAATATTATTTTCTTTTAAAGTAATATTAGAATTTTATGATGAAGTTGTTATTTTGGCCTGTAAAGTGAATTAATTTTACGTCCACAGGAGTATATAAATAACACCTTATCTTTGCCGAGAAATTTATTTATTTCAAAAACAAACGTTTTTGAAATAAAAAAGTATTTTATTTCAGAATTTCAAAAGAAAAATTATTTTATATTAAATTTTTTGTTTTTACTTGTAATTTCTCCAAACAGTAAAAAAAATTTAGAATAATAATCTTGTTTTTAAGTTAATACTAATTAAATGTACTTTAAGTATTAAATATTGTCAATCCTTAATCTGTTCTGTGCAGACCTCAATGGTCAAAAAGATTCTGGAGACTTGCAAGTAACTTAGAAATATTTTTCTAGTTTTATGAATAATCAGATAATAAATACATAGATAAACATACTCATTATTTGAACTAAAAAAATTTGAACTTGTGGATGTCTCTATTATATTCTATACTTCATAATCACATGAACTAAAGGCAGTCAGTTATATATACTGTATATATTTTAATATAAAATTCTGACTTGTCAAAGTAAGTATTTTAAATTTCAGTAATGACTTTCAACGTCATTCAAGCAATAATTCCAGATTTGAATTTTTGTTTTTCAAAAAATATTAGAATGTCTGAAAGCATCAGACTTCTAACAGTCTGCAGCTTCCAGACATATTTAAATGTAAGTCCATGAAAGAGAAAAGATCAAGAATTGCTGTTATATATCATTCTTTATTACATAGCACACTTAATGCTAAAAATTTGTATTATTACTATAATGGTATATACTCACTTTATAGTGATTTGAGGACGTTCACCACCTTCCCCAGGCTTCAAATTCACCATTATTTCCAATATCGTTTCAGACCAATAACTCCTATATGATAATAATCCTAGATCGGACAAAGGTTTTTCTGGAGAACCTGTTTTACCTTCAAATTTAGATAACTCATAACCTAAAATTGTAAATTTTATAAGTGTATTGTTTAATTAACCAAACAATGTTCTTAACTTAATATTAAGAAACTAAATTTCTTACTAAATTCAATTAACAATTTCCCATATCCTTTCCTTTGATAAGGTGGGAGTGTCAGAATGCAGGCTACATTATAATCTTCAGTTGATTCTTTCTCCTTTATTAAAAAATCAATATGAATAAAATACTTCAATTACATTACTAAAATGTGCTTGATTAGTAAATTAACTTGCCTTAGAGAAATAACCGACAATATGGAAACCTCTATTATCACATTCAGTCATCACATAAAACAGAAATGGATCTGTATCATAATATAATGTTTTATGATCTAAAAAACATTTGGCTAGAAGACAAAGGTTTTGAGCATAAACCTGTAAGATTAAATATTTTTATACATTATATTTGATGATAAATTAAAACAATATAACAACATCAAAATTTAATAAAAATGTAGGTTGAAAATCTCACTTCAAGTATAATTTGTATGTTTTTTAATTTTAATAGAGTTTTATTCTCTAAGAGAATATACTCTAGTCTGTGAAATTATATTAGAATAAAAAAATATACTTCATTAATTATAAATAAAAGGCATTTTTAACAATTATTAGCAGTTAAGAAAACAAAAAGAAAGCATTACACAAGCAATTTGTCATCTCTTAAAAGTTTTTGTATCTTCAATTTAATTGTAAAAAATTTCCTTTTCTGTGAAAATGTAATTTTTTTTAAAATAATGATTATTTTTATTTACTACAGACATTGTTTCAAGTCGTTGTACACTTGAATACCAGTATAATTATTTTTAAAATTGAAATTCGTAATGAAATAACATGGAGAATAATTATGAATGAATGAACAGCAAAAAAAAAAAATTAAGTGATTTAATTAACAATCTTACTTTATTTTTTCGTCCATCAATTTCAAAGAAAGAAATTGTTCCCTTCCTATATATTTCATTCCCTGGTGGATGTCTTAAATTACACTTAGCCTAAAAATAAATAATTTTTAAAATATTACAATTTGATTTTATTGAAAGTACAATTAAAACTAATATAAACTAAAATAAATGAAATATTAAGTTATAGGTTAAAGGTATATTAGCAGTATATTTTTTATCAATTTACTATAGCTTTTATTAAAATAATACGTTTTTGTGAGGCTTGTTATATCTTTTAAGATTATATCAACAAATATAAATGATATTTTTATATCAATAAATAACAAATTTATCCTAATATAAATTTTAATAACTTTTTAAAAATTTATTAGAGCTTATTTATTTACATTTTTAAAAGTTTGTATACACATAAATGAAATAATTCTTATACAATACTACAAATATTTTACTCACCATATGCCTTTGTAAGCATTTTCTTGACTTCATGTATTTAAGACAAAATTCACATAAATAAATACAAGGCAGTGACACTAGTTCCTGCTTAAAAGATATATTAAATATTATACTCATCAAAACAAAAAAAATTAATAATTTTTACATACAAATGATATAACGTTTATCATTTTCATTTCTTAAATACTGATATCAATTTAATAACATTGAAATTTATGCCTAACAAATCTTTATTTTTTATGATACACATTTCAAATTTATTTATTTATTATTACATTTACTCAAATATCATTAATAACATCTTTCATATGAAATTCATTCACAAATAATGTTTTTTATTCATAAGATAAATTCTGAAGATTGTGAAAATCCCTTAACAATCAAGTGCACATTTATTTTAATTAAAAAATAATGTATAATGTAAACCACATTTTAAATCCTGATTGTTGTTAATAATAAAAACACCAAACTCCACTTTAATTCAGTAGAGAACAAAAATTCAATGACAAATTATATGTTCTCTATCTTTAAAACCAACCAGATGATGGCATCTGAATAAGGTTGAAATGTTAGTTCATCATTAAATTTTGTTCTCTAATGGATTAAGGTGAAGTTTGAATAATGTATATTTATATTTATTATTCTATATATTAATTTCTCAAAATATTTGTTTTCTATAAATATCAACATAAATAATGTAGCTGATTTGTGTTATAAATTATGTTCCTTCCAATTTGTTGAATATTTAAATTTGTATTAGTTTTTGTTATAACTTTATTCTAATACTCCATATTAAGGATGATTACAGACATATACCAGTATCTCATCTCATCTAGTGTTATACTATTCGTGAATTTATAGTGTATAATTCATTGATGTCACATCAAAAGAATTCAAAATTTTTTTTAAATTTCTTTTTTTTTATTCAGCTTTTAACTGTAAATTTTAAACCAATCTTTCTACCAATCCTTAGAAGCAGCTTTGTAAATCACAATATTATAACATTCATTTGATAATACTTTGTTTTAAACAACATTTTACTGACACATTGCTGTTAAAAAACATCAATATATCAATAAAAATAGTATCAAAAATGTCATTTAAGAAGGCTTATTAGAAAATTCAAGAATATCTGATATTAAGAATGAAAATAATAAAATATATCTTAAAAAATATTATAAAAGTTAAAGAAAAAACTAACCTGTGGATAGGGTGAAAAATACCATGGCCTAATTCTATGTTTACCTAATTCTAACATTTCAATGTTTTTCATTCGAGTGATGAGATCATCATGATGAGCTACCAAACTCCCTGTTATACGGGGACTTGGAGTATTCTCTTGTGAATCCTATATAAAAAGTAAGGCATTAGTATAATTTATTATAACTATATAAAATATTTTTAAAAGGCATTTAAAAATTTTTCAACATTAAAAATATGCATACATACATTCATATGTATATATATATAAAAAGCAGTTTCTTTATCAAGACATGGTTTAAATCTCACTGTCAAGTAATACATAGTTTCATATATTATCATTATAATATTTTGTTATATAACATTTGTGCTTATTCTGATTTTGTAAGTTTATTTATTTATTTCTATGTATAATGGTCACTTATGTTTTTGGCATGTAAAGCACTAATATGTATATTTATTATTTTAGTCATATCAATCTATGTCATATTAGTCAGGCTGTGAGTATCTGGCTTCTTACAGCTGGCAGGAAGTTTTGTTATTTTATATCAGTATTGTTTTTCTTGAGATAGGTCTGTAGACATGGAAATGTTTATATTATTTGTTTTATTTAAGTAAAACAGGTCAAATTAAGCAGTTCCTCATATTTAACAAATTTTGGTATTATTTTAATAAAAAAAAATTAAAGTATTTATATATAAAAATGCAATATTTATATATATTTAGTTATTTCAAATGAAATTCGTTTTTAAATAGATATATACCTCATCTAAAGAGGCAAATTTTCGTTTGCGACCACCACCACCACCTCCACCTCCTGTTGATTTTTTAGGAGGAGCACTCCCATTCTACAAAAGAAATAATTAATTATTAATAATAAAAACTTTAAATCTATAAAATTTTTCCATTATATGAACACAATATATATATACATGCTACTTCAAATAAATGAATACGAATATATGTTATTGTTATACGAACGTTTAAATATTTTAAATACATTAGTATTTAAAATATTTAAACGTTCTTTTGACATATAAACACTCTCCTAAACTGGATGTATGCAATATAAAAACACATCTTTTTATTTAATTTGAATACATATTGAATATTCTAATATAGATAACTATCAGGAGCACATCCAGAGAAGTTACTTATGGTGCTGCAACACCCTGTTGATACACCAATCAAATTATTTTATTTTCTCACATACAGAAAAACAATTTTACAGCTTGTTGCCATAAATATTTCACATTTAAAAAATAAAAATCTGAAAAAATTATTCAAAAATAATCAATACAAGAATTATCTTAAGTCATTGTTTTCTGATTTTCTATCTAGAATATTTTATCAATCAAATTAAATTATATATGACTTTTCCCCCCCTAATCTGAACTGAAACATAATAATAAATATTAAACCGTAACAAAACAATAAATTATGTTGTAGTATAATATTTATTTTGTTATGACTCCATAAAAAATTTTTATTCATCACCTCTAAAGAATATATTGAAAATTTATTAGTTTTGAATATTTTCAATAAATTTAAATTCAAAACAGAAATCGTCTTAAATATGAACTCACCATATTTTGTTCCAATAAAAGCATTGAAGTTGGTCGATTTGTCTGAAATATGAATTAACCTTTTTAAAAAAACTATGTAATACGGTATATTACACAATACAAACAATCAGTTTAATTTTTATTCATTCAAAAACAATAATCTGCACAGATGATAAAAAAAATCTTTCAAATTATTCAGTGTTTTTATCATTATAATATTTAGGACACTTAAAATCAAAATATGAAAATATTTATCTAAAATATATTTCATGTAACCAAGTAAATGTTTACAAAAAACTATATTTTTTCTAAGAATTCAACTANGATAAATGGCGTACAAAGTGCGTAAATGTTGTCAATGAAAATGCTCTAATTGTTACAATTTGTTTTTATTTTTATCAAAATTTATCTATATTTACATTATAAAGTATCGCAGAAGCGGATAATCGAGTTGTTAATGTCATTTTCATTCATTTATTTGGTTAATTTTTCTTTTCTAATTAAATCTGATATTTATAATTATAATTATAAATAATATCATGCGTTGATTTGAATTTGATATTAAGAGAGATTTTTTTTTTTTAAACTGGATGATTTTTCGATGTGAGTTAAAAATAATTTCTGCAATTGAAACTTGTAAGACATGGCTGACAGCAGGAGACATAATGGTTTAGATACCCCTTATGAGAGAAGATTTTCAGGTAAGGAAACAGTAATACTAATGTTTTGCAATCAATTGTACTACACATTTACAAGTAAATTGACATTTTATAAAATTTAAAAACATTCTAATTAAGAATCAATTGATTTTTGATTCTTTCTGTCATGTGGACACTAAAAGGATCTTTTTTAGTCATAGCCATCATGAGTTGACTAGGCCTACAACATGGATGGTGAGGGATGAGCCTAATTATACAAGACAGATTACCACCTGAAATATCCCAGGGGAACTCACTTAGATTCGATCCCTCAGAGCAATAAGGCTGATACCTTAACTGCCTAGCCTTCCTGCTGTCATCTTAAATAAATGCACACAAGCATGCCTGTGGATGTCTGGGTGTCAGGACTCACAAACTTTAGCATAAAGCTGTTGAACACACCTAATTTTAAATTACATTTTATGATCTTATTTTGAAGCTCAGTATCGCCATTGAGAAGATTAGAATGTTAACTGATGATATTAAATCTTTTATCAATCAATGCATACACTGTATCAATGCAAGTGGTAGCAGAGACAAATATCAAAAGTGATTTGAAAGACTCCATTTTAGCTACTTTTTCACTGAATATAAAATAAATATACTCATATTATTTAAGATGTTATAAATTTAGCAATAATTAAATGTAAAATGGGAATGAGAATTCCTAAAAATCTAAAGACCCTCAAAACTTTTTGTTGGGTATGCCAATGTAAATGCATCTTATTTCTTGAAAATTTAATAAAGAAAAAATAACTAATATAAACTAAAAGAAAAAATAAATAAATTTATTAAGATATTTATTATTTAAGATTTAGAAAGGAAGAAATGGAAGAAACATATTAGAGAAGAAAATGCCAACCCCATATAAACATGGAAAAGGCAAAGATGAAGATGATTATATAAGATTTAAAATACCACATCTGACAAGATATTTATAATAATTTATATTTATACAGGTTGGTTGAAAAGTAATTAGACATTGATAAATCACTATAATTTTTGTAATAACAATGCAATTGTAATAAATTTGTGCATGTATGTACATCAACCAATGGAATTTTATAATTCAATGTCTAAAAACATGTTTATAACTTTTCTGTGCTAAGTTTAATAAAATAAAAATTTCTATCAAATTGATTTTAAAAATTTGAGATTTTTTATAAGTTCTTTGAAAGCAAGAAAAAAATTTTTTTCCCCTGAAATAATAAACTTCAGAACAAAATCATAAACTCTCTCCTTTCTTGTCTTCAAATCTGAATTTTTGGTATAAATTGATTTATATCAATTCTACATTTAATAAATTCAGTTATACTTACTATTTTATACTTCAATTATACTTACTATATGAAAAACTGTAATATAGTAGTATAGTATGTCATGTCACATGTGTTGATATGTTTAAAATACCAAACAATTCACAGTTCAACGATATAATTTAAAACACATTCTTAACTTTTTAACTTTAGTAAGATCTTTTCTTTCTTTTTTTTAATCAGATTTAACCAAACAAAAAATAGTAACCATGAAAATTTAACAAAGTTTTATTAAAATTTTATATTAAATTTTACATTACTGAACGATGAGCTACCAAACTCCCTGTTATACGGGGACTTGGAGTATTCTCTTGTGAATCCTATATAAAAAGTAAGGCATTAGTATAATTTATTATAACTATATAAAATATTTTTAAAAGGCATTTAAAAATTTTTCAACATTAAAAATATGCATACATACATTCATATGTATATATATATAAAAAGCAGTTTCTTTATCAAGACATGGTTTAAATCTCACTGTCAAGTAATACATAGTTTCATATATTATCATTATAATATTTTGTTATATAACATTTGTGCTTATTCTGATTTTGTAAGTTTATTTATTTATTTCTATGTATAATGGTCACTTATGTTTTTGGCATGTAAAGCACTAATATGTATATTTATTATTTTAGTCATATCAATCTATGTCATATTAGTCAGGCTGTGAGTATCTGGCTTCTTACAGCTGGCAGGAAGTTTTGTTATTTTATATCAGTATTGTTTTTCTTGAGATAGGTCTGTAGACATGGAAATGTTTATATTATTTGTTTTATTTAAGTAAAACAGGTCAAATTAAGCAGTTCCTCATATTTAACAAATTTTGGTATTATTTTAATAAAAAAAAATTAAAGTATTTATATATAAAAATGCAATATTTATATATATTTAGTTATTTCAAATGAAATTCGTTTTTAAATAGATATATACCTCATCTAAAGAGGCAAATTTTCGTTTGCGACCACCACCACCACCTCCACCTCCTGTTGATTTTTTAGGAGGAGCACTCCCATTCTACAAAAGAAATAATTAATTATTAATAATAAAAACTTTAAATCTATAAAATTTTTCCATTATATGAACACAATATATATATACATGCTACTTCAAATAAATGAATACGAATATATGTTATTGTTATACGAACGTTTAAATATTTTAAATACATTAGTATTTAAAATATTTAAACGTTCTTTTGACATATAAACACTCTCCTAAACTGGATGTATGCAATATAAAAACACATCTTTTTATTTAATTTGAATACATATTGAATATTCTAATATAGATAACTATCAGGAGCACATCCAGAGAAGTTACTTATGGTGCTGCAACACCCTGTTGATACNTGATCAATTACAACAAGAATATAAAAGACAACCATGTCATTTAGAACGACTCTATGGTTAGTAAATAAGATACGTAATTACTAATATTCAAATTGATTTAATTTTTATAATACATTTTAAACAATAAAAATGAATACGTACTACAACTGGCTGCTCTGTATATATAGAAGAAGGAGTGCGAGGAGGCTGCAAATAAAGTTAATTTAACAGAATTGTTTAATATTCAAATTTTAGATGTTATAAAATTTGCAATTATCTAAGTACTTTACGATTAATAAATATAAATTTTTTAAAACTAAATTACACCTACGACAAGTTCTCTTTCAGGAGACGATGGTCTGGATTCAGTTTTCCCATCTTTAACGGGAGTCTTTGTTTCTTTTTTTGGAAGTTGAATTTTTTTCAGATCTAATCTGTCTTTTGTTACCCATTCATCTAATCTCTTATTGACTAAAAAAATTTAGATAAAAAAACTGTTATCCTCAAAACAAAATGGCATAATTAAGCATCTAATATATAATATTACATTACTTACAGTCAATATAATGTATATAATATAATTCGCCATCTTTTGTAGTTTTAATACTGAGTACTTCTGCCAGAGCTGTAATTTAAATCAAATTTATAAATTTTCCATATATAAAATGACAAATAATATATAATCATACTTATAAACTAATATAATTTGAATTTAATCAAAGTACTAACTGATTTAAAATTTANAAAATATTATTGAGTTATTGAATGTACTGTAGTACAAGTGTGCACTTAAAGGTTGAAAATAATTTCAATTCAATTGTAGAATATTGCCAGATGGTAATTAAGTTTAAAATAAAAAGTGAATATAAAGTTCTTCAGTCCCCAAGTTAATCAATTTTTTTAATTACTCAAATATTTAATTTCAGTAATTAAAAAATTGTTTACAAATTTTACTTCATTTAATCTAGATCAGAAAAGGAACAATAAACTCCATACAAGTGAAAAGAAAATAATAATGTGATTATAACGGAAACAAAAATATTTCATTTAATGGGAAAATCTGTTGTTTATTTGATGATAATATTTCTATTTGAGATTTATAGTTTGTGGTCTTTAAAACTTTTCCAGCAGCATTAGGACTCTGCTTTCACATTAATAGTATATATGCAAAGTTTTGAAATCTATCAAATATTTTTTTATAATTTATAAAAACCTAATATTTTGTAAGCATTCAATGCATATATTTTGAAATTGTCACAGAGCTTGCCATAACTGATATGTGACTTTAATTATTAAATATGTCTAGCACATAATTAAACTGAATCTTTATATTGCAAGTACAATAATTTATATTAAATTTTTCATTATTTGTATAATTTAACAAATATGATAATAATAAAGATTTTTTAACAAATTTAGTTCTTCACTGTTTTTCATCATTTAATTTTATAAATAATTTTTATTACTGACACCTACCACATTCTGATCTACATACAACACTGATGGTGATCTGTTATTCTGAAATTTTAAAGAGTTTATATTAATATAACATATTCAAATTGATTTAATTTTTATAATACATTTTAAACAATAAAAATGAATACGTACTACAACTGGCTGCTCTGTATATATAGAAGAAGGAATGCGAGGAGGCTGCAAATAAAGTTAATTTAACAGAATTGTTTAATATTCAAATTTTAGATGTTATAAAATTTGCAATTATCTAAGTACTTTACGATTAATAAATATAAATTTTTTAAAACTAAATTACACCTACGACAAGTTCTCTTTCAGGAGACGATGGTCTGGATTCAGTTTTCCCATCTTTAACGGGAGTCTTTGTTTCTTTTTTTGGAAGTTGAATTTTTTTCAGATCTAATCTGTCTTTTGTTACCCATTCATCTAATCTCTTATTGACTAAAAAAATTTAGATAAAAAAACTGTTATCCTCAAAACAAAATGGCATAATTAAGCATCTAATATATAATATTACATTACTTACAGTCAATATAATGTATATAATATAATTCGCCATCTTTTGTAGTTTTAATACTGAGTACTTCTGCCAGAGCTGTAATTTAAATCAAATTTATAAATTTTCCATATATAAAATGACAAATAATATATAATCATACTTATAAACTAATATAATTTGAATTTAATCAAAGTACTAACTGATTTAAAATTTAAAAGTAACAAAATTTAAAATTTTGAAACAATGTAACAAAATGTAACAAAATTTTAAATTTTGTTACATTTTGAGAAAGTAGAAAATCAAAATTTCTAAAAACAAAAATATAATAATAACTAATTAACTGTTTTTGATACACACTGAACTGTTAATACATTTATCAAATACAAATTGTTATATTATAAAATATTTTTTAAATATAATTTTAAATGAACATTCAATTACTTTGAAGCTAAAGAAGACTTACAAAAATATAATTTTTGAGCCTATTTCTTTTCATTCTTTTCACAGACCATCTCAGAAGTAACAGTAAATTAACTTAAAGATATAAAAAATCTTTTTAAAACAACATTAATAGATTATTAGAAAATTAACATAAAGTTAAAAATGATCAAAATGAATCATTGTTTATATTGTGAAAGTACCAGATCCTAAAGTAAAAGGTTGGCATTCTGATAATTTAACTTTGTGTTAATTTTTTAATAATCTATTTACAATGTTTTAATATTTTTTTATATCTTCAAGCTAATTTACTGTTACTTCTGAGATGGTCTGTGAAAAGAATAAAAAGAAAGGCTCAAAAAATTATATTTTTATAAGTCTTCTATAGCTTCAAATGAAGATAATCCTGGGTTAGGATGTCTTTATGCATTCAATTACTTATTTATTGTTATTTTCTAAATTCTTCTGTGCTTCTTTTTTATTACAAAAAAATATAAAAAATTTTTATTATTTATTCTATTATACTATTAAATGATGAGATCTTTAATAATTTTTATATTACACTAGCTTACCCGTCGCGCATTGCTGCGATCTCAGAAGAAAGGAAATTCAAGCAAACTCGTTATGATAAAATTCAATTTACATTTTATTATTTTTATTGAAACTTATTATTATTATTCATTTTCATCGGGAAAACATTTCAAAGTGTCGTTTCAATTCTATTTATTTATTGGAGTGTTTGTGGATACACGATATTTTTTGTTNGGCGTTTCGATCATTTTGATCTTTGTGCTAGCTTTTTTAATAATCTATATCTATAACAATGTTTTAATATTTTTTTATATCTTCAAGCTAATTTACTGTTACTTCTGAGATGGTCTGTGAAAAGAATAAAAAGAAAGGCTCAAAAAATTATATTTTTATAAGTCTTCTATAGCTTCAAATGAAGATAATCCTGGGTTAGGATGTCTTTATGCATTCAATTACTTATTTATTGTTATTTTCTAAATTCTTCTGTGCTTCTTTTTTATTACAAAAAAATATAAAAAATTTTTATTATTTATTCTATTATACTATTAAATGATGAGATCTTTAATAATTTTTATATTACACTAGCTTACCCGTCGCGCATTGCTGCGATCTCAGAAGAAAGGAAATTCAAGCAAACTCGTTATGATAAAATTCAATTTACATTTTATTATTTTTATTGAAACTTATTATTATTATTCATTTTCATCGGGAAAACATTTCAAAGTGTCGTTTCAATTCTATTTATTTATTGGAGTGTTTGTGGATACACGATATTTTTTGTTTTTCCCTCTGGTGCGTACACGAATAAATCGGAAGGTTTTTCGACGCGTGAGCCGGCCACATACAGTTGTCCATGCGAGAAGCACGGATTCTCCAAATTTAGCCCACACACTCGCTGCGATTGTCAGAAGTGCGATATTCCCCATTTTTATATATATTTTTAAATCCTTTATAATTTTAATTATTTAATTGCTCCTTCCTCTCTTCCTTGGCATGTTGTGAAATTTCTGATAGTTGGATAATAAACCGTTTTATTGTAATTTGTCTTTTTAAATTATTTTGAGTCGATATTAAAATTTGGAAAAGGGGGATACCTAGATCGGTAAAATACGCGAATTTCTTCCTACAACTTCGGTTGTTGTTCGGGGTACAGTTAAGGTTTTAACGAAGTTCGAGCGAATACATAATTAGCAAAAAAAAAGTTGAAATAAAGTGATTAAACAAAAATTATTATAAATATCGTAAATAACAGTTCACAATTGCATATATAGAGATATTTTTTGAAGGGGGGAAATGGTCTTCACAATTTGAAATCGATCAAACACACTGTGCGCGAATGCTCGTGTAAAAGCGCGCCATCTATCGTAGGATAAATGTACTTCGCGGGAGTGTATTAAAAAATTAAAAAAACTTTTCAAAGTTTCATGGCAATCGTACTATGCCACAAACCTTCGCCGGAGTATATTAAAAAACTTCCCAAAGTTTCACGGCAATCGGATAAACGGTGTGGTAATGCATAAAGGACAGACACACACACACACACACACACATATTCATGTTTATATATATAGATAAGTTAGATTTTAACATATTATAAAAAAACCTGAATTAGTTTATCTATACTAATATTATAAAGAGGTAATGTTTGTAAGTATGTATGTATGTATGTATGTATGTATGTATATATGTAAGTTTGTTTGCAGCAGGTAATCTCAGAAACTACTCATCCGATTTCAAAAATTCTTTCACCAATATTTAGAACGAAACCTCAGGGTGGACATAGGCTGTATATTATTCCGTTAAACATTCATATAAATTAAAATATATAATCTAGGTTAAGGCTTTTATGTCCAACAGATGGCGCTACGAGTACGACACCCTAAGTTTGCTTTTCTGTGAGGCATTATGCTTTTCTGTGAAAATGAACTAAAGCATATCATCTTCTATCTATCTATATAAATAAAAATGTAATGTTCGTTTGTTCCTACCGATTCCTTTGAAATTTTGACACAATGCTGCATTCAAATACGCAAGTGTTTTTATATAATATACGTATCGAAATTCCCCCCACTGAAGGGAGATGGTTAGGATTAAGGCTTACCGTAAAGAACTCTGCTTCTATTTAGGCCTATACCATTTTAGATGCGGTTTTTTGCATTTTAATAGGGTACGTCAACAGAATGTACACTAAGAAGAAATTTTTTGAAAAATTACCCCCCCACGGGGAAGTGTTATAAATTTATAATAGATACATTTTGAGCCACAACAACGCGTGGCGGAGTCTGCTAGTTTATATGTACAGTAAGACCCCTCTTAACATGAGGAATGCGTTCCTAGATGACAAAGTGCTAAGCAAAACAGCGTTAAATGAGACCATTTTAACATAGAGTAAATAGGGATAGGAAAACATCCAACCAAAAATAAAAAAATTTTATTTTAATTTTAAGTCATTTTTATATTAATTTGTATAATAATATATGTTAAATAACATGTAAACATATGCACACAGAAATGTATAATAATATATTAATTAGTTCATTTTTTCTATATTAATATTTCTTTTTTTGTGACAAAGGTCTTGACTTTTCTGAAATTCTTGTTTTTTTTTTTTTTCAATAAAATCGTGAAGTTTTATTTGTCGTTTTTTCTCTCCTTAAGCAAATGTCGGTAGCAAAAGATTGCATCCAAAACACCTCATTTTGCTTTTGCACTCCTTTCAAAATCTAGATCACGTGCTACAATTTGATCAACAATTTCAGTTATCATTACCAAACTTTTACTAAGGAAATATGTAGAGAAATTTTTTGGGTTCTTCATTTTCAGAATTTCTGTTTTCCAGTTCTACATGGATTCCTTGTTCTGCCAGTTCTTGAAGTCATCGTTGGAAGGCTCTAACCAGAAACCTGCAGTAACTCCCCAATATCTATTAAGTTGACAATTTGGCCAACATAATGATACAGCAATAAGCTCCTCTAGATGAGAATTCTTGGATACCTTCAGCCGTAACTTCTCCACATTCCATTCATGCATTTATCATTTAATTCTTGTCAAGCCAAGTCGCTATTTCCTATGGCATCCATGATGTTATATTTTTTCCAAAATTGCACCTTAAATCCATGTTTTTCCAAAAAAACATGGATTTAAGGAAATTACAGCACTACGATGAATTGCCACCTTTTGCTGATTGGTTTGTGTTTGGGAATAATCGTATTATATACAAATCAATGAACTACTGCGTTAATTTGAATCAGCGTAAATTTTAAGCATTTTTTTTAGGTGTCAAGCAGATCATGTTATATTGAATCAGCGTTAAGCGAAATCTTACTGTATATATAAAAAATTTATTAAAAATATGATCATATTTACAGATAGTATCATATACATATATTCAATTAATATATAAACTTTTAATGTATTTTCTAAATATGTTAAAATCTTCAGGTAATATTATCCTATCAGAATATCAACTACATATTAAAACACATTCTACAAAAATTTCAATATATTGCTCATAATTTTATAATTTATTTATGAGATAATGAGTAAAATATAAATAAAATTTCATCCATTTTGCTGATCCATGCTTAATCCAAGCAAATAAAATATTAGCTGTAATAAGCCAAGAACATTCTTAGTAACAATATACAAGATAACATTTCTCTATGAAAATAATCAATGATTTGAAATAGCAAATCAGTAATTCTAGAAATTTTTGTAGCGTGTTAAATATTAATAGGTTAATATTTAAAATGATTATTTTAAATTATTGTTTATCTTTAATGCATGTTTTAAATGTGGCATACAATATAAAATTAAATTTTATGAGTTGTAATAAATTCTTAAGCAATTGAAACAAATATTATATTAAACTTAAGTGAAAATAAACAAAAGTTTACTTAGTCATATTTCTGCTTTTATTAATGAAAATATTCTATAGGAAGTTTCTGAATTTTTGTTTATCAATAATTGCAAAATAGCAAATTATCTTATATATTAGTTAATTATGATAACCAAGCAAATATATTAACCTGAATAATAACTGAGTACCTATATTACAATATTTGTGTATACATGTTATTTGTGCCAATTACAATTATGTAATATATTTGTATACAATAACTAGATTATTTAGAAACAAAAATTATTATTTTTTAAATATATATTGCAAAAAAAAAAACAAAGTAAATTATTGGATTTTTGAAAACTTTAAATACATTAAGATAAGATTACAGACAAAGCCAAAAATGAAATACAGAGTGTTCTGTAAAACACTCTACATCTCTAGTTTTGTGGATTAATTTTGGGAAGAGAATCATGAATATAGTACAGTAATTAATGGTAATAGAAAATGCATCTGAAAAAGTTAGTTACTACATTAAATCAGTACATTTCCACATATGCTTCTGATGTATATCTAGTTTGTATTTGATTTTACTCCATGACTGAGCCAGCAAGCATGTTAGGAGTCATGCAGTTAATGGCATCCACAATCCCTGACATGTCCAAAAAGAAAAAAGCTCAAGGATGATACCAGATGATTGGGCAGACCTAGAAATGGGGTTCCAGCGATCTAGACCATGTAATAGTGAAGGTCTAGATCATCACTGGTGCAACAGCAGCATTGGTCCTTTCATGCATATATATATAAAAAAAGAATATTGACCAACATGGATTTTACAGATTAGTTTAAAACTAGGGACATTCAAAGAAACACCCTGTATATTCAAAACCAGATAATGATTTATTTTGATTCTGATGAAACCATGTTGTAGTTTACCTTGCTTTTTTACAGACACACTACGGTGACATTATTCAACACTTGGCAGATTATTCAACTGAATAAAGTGGTGAATAATCTGCCGAGTGTTGAATAATGTCACCGTAGTGTGTCTGNTATTATATTAAACTTAAGTGAAAATAAACAAAAGTTTACTTAGTCATATTTCTGCTTTTATTAATGAAAATATTCTATAGGAAGTTTCTGAATTTTTGTTTATCAATAATTGCAAAATAGCAAATTATCTTATATATTAGTTAATTATGATAACCAAGCAAATATATTAACCTGAATAATAACTGAGTACCTATATTACAATATTTGTGTATACATGTTATTTGTGCCAATTACAATTATGTAATATATTTGTATACAATAACTAGATTATTTAGAAACAAAAATTATTATTTTTTAAATATATATTGCAAAAAAAAAAACAAAGTAAATTATTGGATTTTTGAAAACTTTAAATACATTAAGATAAGATTACAGACAAAGCCAAAAATGAAATACAGAGTGTTCTGTAAAACACTCTACATCTCTAGTTTTGTGGATTAATTTTGGGAAGAGAATCATGAATATAGTACAGTAATTAATGGTAATAGAAAATGCATCTGAAAAAGTTAGTTACTACATTAAATCAGTACATTTCCACATATGCTTCTGATGTATATCTAGTTTGTATTTGATTTTACTCCATGACTGAGCCAGCAAGCATGTTAGGAGTCATGCAGTTAATGGCATCCACAATCCCTGACATGTCCAAAAAGAAAAAAGCTCAAGGATGATACCAGATGATTGGGCAGACCTAGAAATGGGGTTCCAGCGATCTAGACCATGTAATAGTGAAGGTCTAGATCATCACTGGTGCAACAGCAGCATTGGTCCTTTCATGCATATATATATAAAAAAAGAATATTGACCAACATGGATTTTACAGATTAGTTTAAAACTAGGGACATTCAAAGAAACACCCTGTATATTCAAAACCAGATAATGATTTATTTTGATTCTGATGAAACCATGTTGTAGTTTACCTTGCTTTTTTACAGACACACTACGGTGACATTATTCAACACTTGGCAGATTATTCAACTGAATAAAGTGGTGAATAATCTGCCGAGTGTTGAATAATGTCACCGTAGTGTGTCTGTAAAAAAGCAAGATAATGATTTAAGTAAAATACTAAATAAATTATTTAAAATATTTAATAATGTTCTTAGAATCATCAATAGGTAAAAGTGATATTAAATTTATAATAAAAATATGAGGTGGTGGGAAAAACTAGGGTTTCTCCACTTCTGCATTAACTGCGTATTAGCTTAAGTAATTAATCTAATTAATTGTCCCCCTTCAGAATCTCAATAACAATAATTATAAAAGACCTTAATAAAATTGATGTTAATTAATTAATTTACTAAATACTGTAACCATACTTAAAGTTAATTCTCTACCTCACATATATTGTTGTGTGATGATTATTTAAAAATTGTCTTCTATCTCTGCATTTCAATCATTGATATTTGATGTACTATTATAAATTTTTTAATCTCCGTTTTAAAGATATTTTCCTTTATGTATATTGGTATTACTAATTTACCAGTTGAAAGGCCCAATGCAGGCATCGGGGCATACTAAATAGTTAGCATGCATAACATTGATAAATAATTAAATACAAATGGTTTACCTAAAGTGCAGAGATGTTCAGCAGAACACTGTTGAAAGTGAACTGCCCATAACTATCATTGTCATGTACTAAAACCAATATCCCTACATTCAATTCTCATGAAATAACTTTCAAAATACCAATAAGATACTACATATTTCCATTATGATTGTAAAGAAATACCGTAATATCCTGTCTCCAGTTCAAAACATAGTTATACTTTTTTTGTTTCATTATTATCATTGTCATGCACTTTGACCTACATCACTATATCCAATTCTTTTTAAATAACACAGCAAGCAGCATGCATGCCGAATACCATTAAAAACAGTCAAGCACAGACTCTGGCAATTTCTAGGTTTGCTGCTATGCTTTGCTGGTGCTCGATATGCCAACAGAGACTGGCCATTTTTTCAGTTTTATATAATCTATATATATAAAAATGAATGTATGTGTGTCTGTCCTTCATGCATTACCACACCGTTTATCTGATTGCCGTGAAACTTTGGGAAGTTGTTTAATATACTCCCGCGAAGGTTTCTGGCATAGTACATTTATCCTATGATAGATGGCGTGCGTTATACGAGCATTTTACTGTGTGTTCGATCAATTTCAAATTGTGAAGACCATTTCATCCCTTTAAAAAATATCTCTATACAGTGGTACCTCAGGATACGAACGACCCATCATACGAAATTTTCAGGATACGACATGAAATTCAAACATATTTTTGCTCCATGATATGAACAAAAACTCACCATACGACGTTACATTAGTTCGCAGCACCATTTTTTATTCGTTTCTGTTCATCGGTCTCAGTTTGCTTTATCGTGGAAGGATCTCGCTCGATAAAGGAAATCTCGAGGTATTATCAGAAAGTGACTGATTTTATTGAAAAGAAACATCCCGAAAAGGTTCACACTGGCTGTATTGCTGCTCAGAGTAATGACATTTGCCTAAGTCATTTTAGAAACATTTTAAAAAGTAGGCAAAGCCAAACCTTTTTGGATAGATATTTTACCAAGCGACCTCTATCCAGTGAAAGTGCTGGTGGAAGTGAAGGAAAGAAAGCAAAAAGCAGTGAATAAAAATTTTAAAAA